CTCCGTTTCTTTCCTCTCTTTTTTCCCTTTTATAATAATTATAATAATTTACACGATCGCGATACAAATGACAGATCGTCGATTAACATTCCATATCTCTGATCTCCAGATTTATGCGTGCAACATTTTGTCCAATGATCCCGCTATATAAATAAAATATCCATGTTTTAATCTTGCAATTATTACAATCGTATAATAGTACATTTATATAAGTTACGCTAAGAAATTATCATATATACAATTAAAAATTGTTAGGAAATATTCTTTTAAATAAGTTAAATTTACACTGTATTACGATCCATGAAAACATTTAATATCTCGTTGCCATTCAAATCGGGAAATTAGACGGGCGTAGATCCCGCGTTTCATTTCATTCTGTCAAACAAATTTGCCGATCTTACGCCACGCCGCGATTTTTCGATGATTCGAGTAACAACAAGAATTTGTTCCTTTTTTTTTTTTCCTTTTTAGAATCTGCGTGTCTGTGTATGCGTGTTATATGGGCGTGTGCAGTTCATCATCAAAAAAACGTGACTCAAGTATTACTGTCCTATCAAGCGGTATATTGCGCGGATAGATATACAATCATCCTAAAGCTAAAAACTGCCGAAGTGGCGAGTTTATGCAAAGTCACCGTAAAGAACTGGTTTTCTTTTTTTCCTTTTGTCGATGACATCTCGCGTATCTTCTCCACCTTTCAAAAATGTCTACAAATATATATATCGCCGCAATGTTTACTCGGTGTACGAATATTTTTCACTTTTTATGACTTTTTTTTTCCCTATGGTTTTTTTTTTTTTTTTGTCCACATTGTTCCTGTAAGCGTTTACTCTTTTCTTTTTCTTTTTTTTTTTTTCTCGTTTTCTCCTCCGGTTTCCCCTTTCGTTTTCGTTTTTAAACAACACGAGAAAGGCGTTGTACATGGACGGGTTGGCTTAGTGAAGACTAGCGAAGTCAGCTAGTCGGACTAGCGACGACGTACATCATTTAATCGCAAGATTCAACGTAAAACATATGTTTAAGGCAACTCAATGCAACCGAAAGGCAAGCAAATCCGAAGCGTAGGCCATGAGTGTGATAGTAAATTGTCGTGCATATATATATATATATATATAT